GCCAGGGTGCAGAGCTCTTGGATTTCCAGATCTGACTCCTGCCATGTCACCTGGGCAGGGAATTGTGGGCCCCCAGGACCAATAATGTCCTTACAAGGCCACCTCAAACCTTGTTCCCCTCTGACTAAGTATCCCAGAGCACGGCAAGGATTTCCCAGACGTGAACTGCTTTTGACAGGATTTTAGGGCCAAAAGACAACACTCAGCCCCGGCAGGCACCACAGGTCATCCTCGCCCACTGTGCCCTGTCACAGTGAAGGAACAGCTGCCTGAAAGTTACTGATCTGCCCTCAGCCTCTGCCTCCCCCAGATGAGTTTGCCCCATGGCACCACACTGTCCCGGAGAAGGGGTTGCCCATCTGTAGGACTTCGGCTGCCTATGGGTCCAATCACTGAGGAAAGGGTCACCCAAAAGGACACGGGTCTCTGCGGAGGGCCGGGGGCTCTCCTCCCCGCTAAGGCAAAGGTGAAAGCAGATGAGTTGGCCTGTGACTTTGTCGGATGCATCAGGAAAACACTAGCAGAGCCCAACCCTCGCCTGTCTCTCTGGAAGCCAGCTTCCCCAAGGGCAGGTGAGCACGGCCGCGCTCGACAGCATCACGCCCCTGCCCTTCTCACCACAACGGAACGGGAGGAAGGGCCCAGGCGGCTGCTCGGAGAGGACAGGATGCCCCCGAGTCCCCTACTCCAGAGTTCTGGGGAAGCCCCCCCCCCCGCCACTTTCTAGACCACAGGCCATGCTGGAAACCTAACTTGATTTTTTCGAACAAGGAAACTTCCTCCCAGAAAATGACTGTCCCTATCTCTGCAAACCCAGAAAGAGAACACCCTTCATTTTCCTTATCAAAAGGGTTTGCCTGAGCCCCAGAGGGGAGAACACGAGAATGTCCACAGCTCACAGACCTTACTTTTCCAGGTGGAGACAGAAGGCTGCTCACAGAACTCTGGTTAAAATGCAGTAATCCAGCGAAGAATGTCCAGACATTTGGGAGTGGTTCTGTCTGTAGAAAGATTAAGGGTAAAAAGCTCAGAAGGATGGCTACTGACAGGCACTCTGGGCAAATCTTTCTGTGCAGAGATCTTTCCAGAACACCTCTGAAATCCTCCCAAACTAACAAGGTTTTATAAGGAAAGCTGAAACGAAGGGTGGGAAGATTTGCATTCTACTAACCAAAAAGCCCAACCAATTTTCAGCCATAGTGAGAAACTACAGAAAATAAGGAGCTTCAAGAAATTTTTAACTGTATGAAGTTTCTTCTTAACACAAACAGAAGTCACTGCCTCCACTGCTGGCAGATGTTACCTGTTTGTTATCATCCTGACAGGTTTCCATTTCAGGTTCATTCTAATTTATGATGTTGTTAAAAAGAGTAACACTCTATTACTCTGAGTTTAAGAAATAAAGAAAGAAATAACACAAGAAAAGCTCTCCTGGAGGGACGGCCCACAGTGTGGCCGGGGAAACCCAGCACGGTGACAGCTATCAGAACACGACGTGGGGAGACTGGGGAGACTCCGGGAGCACAGGAGATGGGGCTGCATTTCTACTGAACGGAAGTGGTTACTGCAGGAGGGCCAGGCTCCAGGTCCCCAAACCAGCAACACATCCCCTCTTCCCTGGGGCCACACAACAGCCCTGACTGGACACCCCGCTGTTAGACTAGATCTTACAGAGCAGATAAGTAAAATCCCTGTTCCCTGGGAACAAACCAGTCCCAGGCTCACAGCACTTACACCAGCAGGCGGCGTGTTGTGTGCTAGGAACTGCGGGGAGGGTGCCCTGCTGGCCTTCCTTGTACTCAGCTTCCCTTTGGAGATCCTAACTCCTGTAGGTTGCTGGGTACGTTCCAGGTACGGCAGTTATTACTGTAATCAGCCAGCATCTATAAAAATCTACACGAGGGGGGCTAGTGATAGGCTCAAGTTAACTTATTACCCTCTCAGTATTTTAAAACTTTTTAAAAAATCATGAAAGCAACTGTTTGCAAATTTAAAACCTTGGGTACTTTTTTTGGCACCAAAGATAACACCTCTGGACCTCTACCTCACACCATACACAAAAATTAGCTAGAAAATGGATCAAAGGCCTAGATGTCTCAACTAAAACCATTAAACTCTTACAAGTGTAGATGTTCATAACCTTGAATTTGGCACTAGTTCTTAGATCTGACACCAAAAGCACAAGAAGAAAAGAGAAAAAAATTAACTGGACAAAATTTAAAACTTTGTGCTTAAAAGGACACCATCAAGAAAGTGAAAACAATTCACAGAATGAGAGAACTATTTTCAGGTCATATATCGGGAATACATAAAGAACTCTTACAACTCAATAATGAAAAGAACAATTAATCACATTTTTAAGAGAAGAAAGGAACTGAACCAACATTTTCCCAAAGATACACAGACAGATAAGCTCATGAAAAGAGAGTAACATTAACTATCAAGGAGATGCAAATCAGCTCCATGGAGACCCCACCCCACGCATTCTAGGATGGCTAAGATAAATTTTAGAAAGACAGTAAGAAGTTTGGTGAGGGTGTGGAGAAATCACAACCCTCTTATATTGCTAGTGGGAAAGTAAAATGAAAAAGCCTGGCGGTTCCTCAGAACATTAAATACCAAGAGATCATACGACCCAGCAAGTCCACTCCTACAGGTATACACCCAAGAGAAAGGAAAACGTCCACACAAAACTTGGATAGGAATGTTCACAGCAGCATTATTCCTAACAGCCAAAAAGTGAAAATAACCCAAACGTCCATGTTACATAACAGATCTGTGGTATGCAGTCTATCGCTACAATGGAATATTATTTGGCAATGAAGAGGAGCGAAGCACTGGCACCTGCTACAACACAGATGACCCTGAAAACATTATGCTTGGTGAAAGAAGCCAGACACAGACGGCCACAGAGTATACAGTCCCATTTATATGAATGGCCAGAACCAGCACGTCTAGAGACAAAAAGTAGATCAGCGGTTGCCCAGTGTCAGAGCAGGATGGACAGGGTCTCTTTTTGAGGTGAGGAAAGCACCCATGCAGAATTAGCTTTCTGTCAACCTCGCCCTCTCTAGGGCAGCACAAAAAGGCATCTGAGCATCAGAAACAGGTATCACAAGGCCCACTTTCACACCACAATCACTCAGAGGAATCCTCTCCCATCCCCGCTCCCACATCTGCACATCTGATGGACACACAGCCTCGGCTCTCCGCGCCCCAGGACATGGGCCTATCACCACACAAGGCAGGACCTGGGGCTCACAATGATTCTACCACTCAACCATGTGCTTTCTAAGCATCACTGGCTGGCACGGACCAAAGATCTGAATCAACAATTATGTTCATCCCATTTTAAAGTGTTTTATGGATAAGTCCTTCAAAATACTTCCACTAAAGTCAGATGTAGTGGGAGGTAAACTTTCAGGTCCTGGGGGGCAGAGCATCAAAAGTAACTCTGCATCCCCCAGCTCTTTATTCTTGCGTGGCAAGTCGCCTTTAGGGCTTTTCCTCGTTCCTTGAGTGTCTGGGAGTACTTTCCATCTAGGAGAGAAGTAGGCCTGCCTCCCATACGGGACGGGTGACTCACCCGGCAGACCTCAGACCTGGACCCCGCGCGGCGGGAGGGGCGCTCTAACTTCGGCTCTGCCCAAACGGGCCTGCGGGCCGCCAGGCTGAATCACGCGGTCAGGAGCTGGTAGGTTACGCCTGACAAAGGCCCGCGGGGCCAAGTAGACACTGAGCCCAAGCGGAGCAGGCCCGGGGAGAGCGCCCGCTCCGGACGCCTCCAGAGCTGCGTCCAGCGTAAAGTGGAATTCCTCCCCCAGAAGCCGGACAGGGCTCGATTCCAAGAGGACGAAGACCTGTCCCCCTCTTCACCTGAGACCCTCCAAAAGCACCTTCCAGGTGACAGGTGATCTCCAACACACCCAGAGAAGAGACTGTTCCAAATTTAGGGCCTCACAACTCTGCAATTGCGCGAGTCGCTGCATTTCCAATGACCTGATTGCAACACCTCCCGGTAGGTGCGGGCCCCGGAGCTGGGCGGGAACATCCCCACCCTGCCGCCAGCAAAACTTAGCCCCTCCCCCGGCCCTGTGCCCCTTCTCCTTGACCCCCTGGGTCCTGGAACCCATCCCCATAGGGCTCCTCTCCCACCCCAGATCCCCTG